TGGTGGGGGGTTTCAGGGGGCATGCCCCCCTGAATTTTACCATATCTTTGATGTTTTGCAGTTGTTAGCTAGCTTTGATATTTCTTAGCTCGCCACGGATCAAACAAGTATAGATTTAGATCTGGATCTAGATTCAAATAAGTGGGGTGGGAACTACAGAAAAAGCGCCGAATTTTGACGGACCAGAAAAGTCAAAATGAAATTATTGGGGGTGTACTCATTATTGGGAAAAGTATCTTTTGTGGAATTTTAACTTTGAGGAGACATAAACTTAACTTCACTTTCTGCATGAGAGGCATTGAAATTAATCCTATAGCAGCTTTTTTATTGACCCTCTAGTCCAAGTTGTCAGGTTTATTATTTACATTTACAGTCTATGAGAGACTGGGCATAGGAAGGGAGGGTGGAGGAGACACTGTTTCATTTTATTTCATTTTAGCCTTTACATGCAATTTGTATATCTCACTCTCCACCAGTGTGAATTGTGAATACCCTTTGCCTTAGGGAGGATTGTTACTTGTACCGTAATAATTAAGGACATTCTTTACTCTAAATCTAAAGATTAAATGCAAGCAAAGTTCAGGCTTTTTTGGGTTTCATTTACATACAAAGCTCTTTACCTTTTCATGTAACAGGGAAGCCATTGCATTGAGTAACTAATATTTGTCTCTCACCATTATTTATTCTTCCACTGTAGCATTCATAGTAACCATAGTCCTAGAGGGCTATCTGTATCTTTCTTTGTTATTTATCCAACTGCAACATGCATTGCCGTAGAGTATGATAGAGTCACTTTTCTTTCTTTTTAAACTATGAAGTTCACTTTTTAATCGTTCTTTATTATTCAGCCGTAATGCTTTTATCTGTCCTAATTCTCCAGCTCTTGGTGATCATTAAACTTTATTAAGACATACAAATTCAAATGTAATTAGTAATGTTCTCGTGTTGAATTGGCTTTACAATTATTTGTTTGTTTTTCTGTTAATAAGGTGCCACTGGTAGGTCCTACTTCTTTATCTTCAGTCTGTTATTTTTTTCTTGCTTTTTCAAATGACTAAATAGCCCATATTGCAAGGATGTGTTTCTCTCAATCAAACTGTGCTGCTTTATATCAATTTTCACGATACAGAGTAGTTCCAAAGCAGTTTCTCTATGGTCTACTCCTCTGTTTAATGCTTTGATGTTCCCTTTTAATTTCGTTGACTGTCCCCAGACAGAGCAACAGTTTCTCTTTTTTTGACTTAGTCTTACTCAACTGTGTTACTCTTACAACAAGTCGTAGGCCTACTCCTTGTTTTATTGCAGCAAGCTTTGTGGAAAATATGTATGCATGACGTTTGCATTTTCATCATGAGAAAACCCCCCTGTTTCAAGCTCAAAGTTTTTATTAACTGCCACGTTCAGAAAATCAGAAAAGAATGAAGATTTGATTTATATGAGGATATAGCAAGTGACTTGTAGTAAAGGCAAAAAGATATTCTTTATAATATTATATGATAAATGAGGAAGAGAAGAAAAAGCATTTTGCAGCATTTAGTCGCAGTAGATGTGCCAACCTGTAGCAAGAGTTCATGTCTTGACGTTCCTTTTTGTTTCATCAACTCTCCCCAGGCGGAGCAGCAGTTTCTCCAGGTACAGGAGGACAGACGGACCATGCAACAAGAAATCACAACGGTGCAGGCAGAGGTTCGAACCCTGGGGGCAGAACTAGAGAAAACCAATCGCACAGACTCCAAGTACATCGACCTGGTCAAGAAAGAGCACGAGATTCTCCTGGTGGAGAAGGACATGACCAACAGGATCAAGGCCCTGGACAAAGCCGAGAGGGATTTCTTCTCTCTGCTCAGCGCTGCCGTCCGCGAGAGAAAAGAGAGAGAGAGAGCCCGGGCGGAGAAGACCAAGTACTGGTCCATCATCGGCTCAGTGATTGGAGCTATTATTGGAATCGTGGGGTCGACTGTCAACAACCATCGGAGGATGACGCAGATGAGGGCAATTCTCACTGAGTCAGGGGAGAGCACTGCAGAGTATAAAGCTATAACAGACAAATTGTTACAAACTATTAGCCAGAATTCAACTTCCGAGAGCTTTCATTTTATCCAGAACACAGAGAGTGGTGATGTGAACACACAAAAGCAAAAATTTGAACCCGATTCCTTCGTGGTCAGCTCGCAGCTGATGGAGAAACAAAGGGAGGAAATTCTACACAGCATAGATAAACAATCAGCGGTTGTTATTTCTCAACTCGACGAAATTCACCGACTTGTCGGAGTCCAACGAGCCCAGCAAGGGGAGACAAATGTGGTGTATGTCGGGCCGGAGATCCAGACGATGTTAGAGAGTACGCGGGAGAGTCTAGGAGAGAGGATGAAACAGAACACGCTGGCGTCTACTGCGGCTATCTCCGGCGTGTTGTCCATTGGCATTCTGGCGCTGGTTTATGTCATCAGAGGCTCATCTTGACCTGTACCGTCTACCATTACTACCAAGGGTCTGTCCCCGTGGTTTT